GACACACATAATAACTATTTATCTGCTCCAGTAATATTCCAATAATACCGCTGAGAATTGGCTAATGTTGTCTTATCATGTTTGTTGAAACCAATAATGGCATTAGGCAAGCACCAAAATTGCCAGAGTTTACACACATTAATCACACTTACAGACTTGCTTATATTTCTGAAGATTTCTCTCATCTGCATTAGCTATTCTGAGCATCACTGACCTGTCCTGCAGACTCAAACATTGCTCGGTGATAGAATTTACTGTTGAATACTGTACTCATATCCATTGAACCCCATAGTTCCAAAGAGAATCAGTCTGCAAGTTTCTTGAATAGAAACTCTTCCTCTGCAAACAATCTACCACTATTTTTGCAATACAGAACTTCCTGTGCCTGCTTTTTCAACTTGCCATCACAATTAGCAGCAGGTGAGCTGCTAAACAAGCCTTCAATCTAAACAGCAGAATCAGCTAGCCACAAATACACTAAGCAAAAAGAGAGGATCATTAGCTAATGATTTTAATGCCCTTAAATTATGCTCTGACAAAAATAATCTGTCTTAGCAAAATCTCCTAAGATCTCCCGAGTCAGTGGCCCTGTTCACAGAATGTACTTATTTGGGCTTGGGAAGGTGGGTAGGAGGTAGGGATGTAAAGATTAACTGTCAATCAAGCTTGAATAGTTTCCTCCTTTAACTAACATCTTTAGTTCCCTCTAGTGTCCAGTTTTTAAAATTCTGATTTTTATTATGCTAAAGTCCAAACAAATCTATTTACCACAGGAAGGATTCCTTATAATTAATTCTAAAATCTTATTTCAAATTTATCCTTAATCTGTTTATAACTTACTAGGATCAAAGTCTTATTTAGTTTTTTTCCTGTTTTTTAAACTGTAATAGCTTAAAAGCAGTTAATAAGAAATTTCTGAGCATGATTAAAAGAAAAGAAGATTGTGAACATAGTGTTCTTTAAAAGATGCTGACTGCAGTTGTGAACAAGATGGCTGTTCTCCTGGTCTCCCAATACTCAAAACCCATCAGGAATTGCTGTCCTGTGATCTCCTTGGGAGGAGAAACTACTTGGCATGCATATAGTCAATATTCCATCCTCTCCTTGTCCAGTGAGATTCTGAAATGATATGAAATGTATAGATGATCATGGGGAATGAGGGGAAAGAATCAGGCAACAAAAGCAAGAGTCCCCAGTGGCTTAATGGTCAGAGAAAGAAACTTAGGAAGTACATGTCTAACGATTCGAACAGTTAACAGTGGTGGCAGGGCATCTGTATTTTCAGACTTGCAGGATTCTGTTAATGTAGCCCAGGGGTGTCAAACTCAATTTCATTGCGGTTGCCCTTTGGGGGGCCAGGTGGGTGTGGCCAGAGTGAGTGCAGCCTACTGGGTGGGCGTGGATGGAATGGGTGTGGCTTACTGGGTGGGCGTGACCAGTTCTACATCATTCGTGTCAAGGGTGCCTGTGGGGCCCTGGGCAGGAGTGGGAGAGATCTGAGGGTCTCTGGCAGAAGGGGGTGGGACCAGGGCAAGTGTTAAGGCATGGTGCACCGGGGCAAGTGCCAAGATGGCCACCACAAAATTGTACATTGGCTCCCAGCCTTGTGTTTGACATGTCTGATGTAGCCTTATAATATAATAAAATTAATCCTTGTCATATCCTTATCTGGGAGAGCTGACATGAAGAGCCCATCATTAGCTCTTCATTCTTTGCCACGGTTGTCAGCTCTGCACCGTGATCTTCAATTCACCATTTTTTCCTCTAGAACACTGTCCCAGTATTTCCTCCCCCCCCCCAGAAAATAAAGCATTTCTGGCATGTTAAAAAAAACCCTTAGAAAAGATTATTAGATGTTTACACATTTGCAACAGAAAAAAAGCACTAATGATAAGCAATGCAATCGTTTGCTCTAGTCTACCAATTATTTCTTTTCCAAGAGAATTATGGCAACAAATATTGACAAATATATTCTTTTAGCACCAGTTACAGCTTCAATAGAAGTGCTGGTAGAGACAGTATTCTAATGCCCCTGTTAACTAATCAAAGAGAGAAGAAACCTAGAGCTAAGGAGAAATTTCCTAACAGTGAGAACAATTAACCAGTGGAATGGCTTCAGAAGTTGTAGATGCTCCCTCCATCCCTGGAGGCTTTTAAGAAGAGATTGGACAGCCACTTGTCTGGAATGGTATAGGGTCCCCTACTTGAGCAGAGGGTTGGACTAGAACAGGGCTTTTCAACCAGTGATACGGGTACCAAATGTGGTACATTGGCATTTGGCAGGTGGTACGCGACCATCCTAGAAAAGTGGTAGCGGGGGAGGGAATGAGCTGAACCAGTGGCAGCACCGCACAAGCCTGAGCGAGAGATGGCTGGAGCTGCAGGGCTGTCAGGGCTCAGCGGAAGCACCAGGATCAGTGCCGCTTTCCAGCTGATCGGCGCTTCTTTGGGGCTATCAGGGCTCAGTGGAAGCGCCAGGATCAGCGCCAGGCTCCAGCTGGAGCTCGGCGCTGATCCTGGTGCTTCTGCTGAGCCCTGAAGAAGCACCAATCAGCTGGAAAGCAGCACTGATCCTGACGCTTCTGCTGAGCCCAGAAGAAGCGCCAATCAGCTGGAATGTTGCAGCATCTCCAGGGTCTTGTGATTTACATTCAGATGCTTGGTAACTGATTCATATTTATGACGGTCACAGTGTCCCAGGGTCATGTGAAGTGACCAAAACCTGCTGCAACCACCCAGCAGACGGGGGGGGGAATAAAAACCAAACACCCCCACCACACCCCCGCTGCCAATCCTCAACAGAAATGCTCACAACAATGAAAACCTTGGACGGGAGGAAGAGCACCGCCGGGCGCTGTCTTGCTCGGCTATGGCTTGGGGGGCACTTTTTTCAGTGCCATTGTAACTTCGAACAGTCACTAAGAGAACTGTTGTAAGTCGAGGACTACCAGTACTTTATCACTTTTTTCCTTTTCCTTTTTTTTTTTTTTTTTTTGGTTATCAAGTTTGTGATACCTTGCTAGGCGACTGGTGGTACTCGGATGTTGCCATATCCTAAAAGTGGTACAATGGGTGAAACGGTTGAAAAGCCCTGATCTAGAAGACCTCTAAGGTCCTTTCCAACTCTGTTCTGTTATTCTGTTCTGTTACTATTGTTTTGAAATCTAAATCTCCATTAATGTTGGAGGAAGGAATCAGATTCCTGAATCTGCAACTGGAGATCTGAGCAGAAACGTCACAAATTTCTTCTTACATATAACATTTCAGAACTAACTTAGCTTAAGCAAGAACCTGTCCAAGATTTAAAGGAAGATTTAAAGACATTATACAAATTAAAGAAGGGAAACAGGATTATTAGTGTTAAATAGCGTAAGATACAGTATGCAGCATCTTGGCTCCAGTAGAGAAATCACTTTGTGAAGGAATTTCATAATATATGAAATCGTTTTAACAATACAATGTCATCAGATGCAGCAATTCATAATATAAAAGTCAGATATAAAGAAAGTGGGCAAGAGAGACCTGAATAATTTATAGGAGTCAACAGTAGAGCACAGAGAAAGAAAATAATTTTGTTTTATTGCCATGCGTTTAAGCTCTAGAACAATTTTGAGGAAAATTACAATGCCATGTTGGTTTATACAAAACCTTATCCCAATAACCTTAACTTCTATGACTTATTGAGGTCTAATACACAGTAATAAACCCAACTCACAGACCATATGTTAGGAGTTTAGGAGGCAGAAGGTAATTATGTCATTTGCTCTGCCTACATAAATATGAAGACAACAAGCAATTCACAGGACACTTTTTTTTATTGTAAAGCAACATTGCATGACGCAATGCAATGAGACTTTAAAATCTGCCTCACCAATATACTATCGTAGTCTCACTTTTCTTCCCTTTCGATCGGGTGTTGGACTTCAACTTCACAATTCCCAAAGGCCAACAGATTGGAGAAAGGCTGTTATAGGTTGACATATGGGCTAAGCTCTTGCTTATTTAGCCGAGATTTAGTGAATAAACCACAAATAACTAATACTCATAGCCCATGGTTTATAAACTACCACAGCTGGGTTTACACAATATATTAAGTCACAAAATAAATATGCCTTTGCTTTTGTGTGCTGTGTGAACCCAGCCATTGTTGGCTCTAGATCAGGGGTGTCAAACTGCCGGACCACGGGGCGGTTTCATCATACTGGAGCCGCGCCCACCCCATTGCCGGCAATGGCAAAAAATCTCCGATATGTTGCGCGACGTCACATGACTTCACGAGTTTGACATGTCTGCTCTAGATTTTCTTTATCCAGAAGTGTTGACATCAGATTGTGGTTGTTCATCTTTCTTAAAAGAAAAAGATGTGAACACAGATGTGAACAAGGACAGAGGCTAATATGCCTGAGTATTGCGGAATCGATGACATTTCCCCTTTACAGACAGCAAGCTGTTGAAATGTCTTTTGTTTTTTTTAGTGGAGTTATGTGATGTGGAAATCCAACCAGTATCAATATTCTACCCCTCCCTTCAAAAAAGCATTATTGTTTTAAAAAAACAAATAGCTCGGATGGCATATGGTCATTTGTATGTTTTATTCTTCTGCTGATTTCCAAGTGTAATTACATCCCAAAATTCATTTTTAAACTGAAAGTAATATTAGTTGCTCAGAGCACACAGGCAAAACAGTCCCTTCTGGGAAATACAGAAATGATAGAATTACACAGATTAAAAAAAAAGCCTGCTGAAAGCCAGCAAAAACAAGATTGCTCTCAGCCAGAGCAGGAGTCTGTGAAAGACGACATCATTTAGGATAATGTTGCTATCTGAAACCTGAACTAAGAGTACCTGTGAGATCAATGCTTCATGAGGCAGATAGTGACATGTGCCCATGAGTTCCTACTTTTAATTGGAATTTTTTTTTCCACTGGACTTGTAGGCACAAGCCGCCTCCTTTACCTGGATCAGTGATAAGCAAGAGCAAGAATTGTAACAGCTTTTACCTGTGTCAATTGCTGGTAGCGTTAAATCAAATGCCTCATCTTCCTCAGGGTTTGGCTTCAATAGAAAGCTTTCAGGATTTATGTCACCGGGCAAGTCCAACAGGCTGCTTTCTTGAGACTGGGAACTTGAGGCTCTTTCACTTCCATTCCATTCCATCACTGAAACAGAGACCAAAGAGTTTTGCTTTATTTTGAAATGTCTATCTCATTTTCCCAGTTTGGTATCAAAGCGCTTGAATGCACTAACATCACAGTTTAAAATAAATCACACTGAAAATACTTCAGTACAAAAAAGATTACAGATATTTAACAAACCTGTAACTATAAGTTCAATATCTATTATCAAACCAAGAGTAGCAAGATTTGCAAAACTCTTTTTTAAAGGATAACATCTTGAAAATCTGGTCTCACTACTATCCTAATCTAATTTCCCAATCACTACCACCAGTAGGATTTTACATTGAACTCTTGTGTGCTAACACCTAAAATCATAGCAAATTTGTATTTGGTAATTAAGGTACCAGACTAGAAAATGGGAGACCATGAGACCATTTTAGCCATGAAAGCCAGTTGGGTGACTTTGGGCCAGTCACTCTCTCTCAGCCCAACATATCTCAATATCTTATTCATGATGACAATGAAAGTGTTTACCACAAGGAGGTTGAGGGTTTGGTGAACTGGTGTAAGGAAAACAGCTTAGTTTTAAATACTGGAAAAACCAAAGAGATCATTGTCAATTTCAGAAAAGGCAGGCACAGCCACACTTCTCTGTGCATTAATGATTCACCTGTGGAGATGGTTATCAGCATTAAATTCCTGGCTGTGCATTTAACAAGTAGGCTGGCTTGGTCGCTCAACAGCGAGACACTGGTGAAGCAGGAACAGTAGCGCCTGCATTTTCTGTGCGTCGCATGAGAAAAGCACATCTTCCTTCCCCTATCCTTACCACTTTCTACAGAGGGACAATTGAGAGCATCCTGTCATACAGCATCACAGTCTGGTTTAGAAGCATCACTGCTTCAGGTAGGAAGGCAGTGCAGAGAGTGGTGAGGATGGTTGAAAAGATTATTGGCAGTTCCCTCACTTTCTTCCAGGACATAGCACATAAGCATTGCTTGAGCAGGGTTTGTAAGATTGTCTGGGACACTACACATCGTCTTCACAACCTGTTTTCCTTGTTACCTTCTGGGAGGAGGCTCCGTGGTATCCGAAGCAGAACATCTAGCTTCAGTCACAGTTTTGTTCCATGCAGTGTTAACTTTGTGAACTCTAAAGCTTCCTCCTCCATTATGTATTCAAGATAGACAGCGATTTGTATTTATAAGTTGCTTATATGTAAGGGTGTAGGTTTATACATATGTTGTATATAGTATGTTTAAATGTGTGTTATATATGTGTACACTTTTGAGAGCAACTAAATTTCATTTTTAATGTGTGCCATTGTGCCCACAGTTAAAAATGACAATAAAGATTATCTATCTATCTATCTATCTATCTATCTATCTATCTATCTATCTATCTATCTATCTATCTATCTATCTATCTATCTACTTACCTACCTATTTACCTACCTACTTACCTACCTCACAAGGTTGTTGTTTTGGGAAAATAGAAGGAGGAAGGAATACTCTCTGTGTTCACCCCCTTACGTTATTTATAAAAATAATAAAGGCAGGATACAAGCAAACAAGCAAGCCACAAAGCCAATGATTTTCATGTTTGGAATATATCACTCATATATTCGTTCTTGAAAAGCTGAAAGCAGTGATTTCCCAATGCCATTCAAAGCATATGTTTTATGTTCAGCTAAGAAAATTACAACCCGTTAAGTATCAAAAACAGATACGCTGGCTGGAAATAAAACATATTCAGCCATCTCCACCCTACAGTTAGTAAGTAAAATGCAAATTTCTACCAAAGATCTTTTTAGTTAGAAAGTCTAAAGATTGCATCCTAGGAATGAATGCAAGCAAAGCTAGTTTTGGCCAGCCCTAAGAGGAAAAAATCAAAAACCGAACAACAGACCTGCCTATTTCACAATACCTGCTTTATGCCTCTGATTTGTTCTGCATCCGAGAGGCAGCAGGTGAGACCAAGTCCTATCCCCATATTGTATTTCAGTACAAGTCTGTTTAGCCCTTTGTACATAAAATGAGAGGGGGGGGGAAAGAGATTTTTCACTCACGCTCCATAATGGCTTGAACCAATGTTTTCCCGTTTAAATATCTTTCATTACTGTATCAGCTTCTTAAGATATTAAGATATAGCAAAATATTCTACAAGATTTATATACAACTTGAATATGGAATAATGGCTTTCATACAAAATGTTACTTAAACCATTTAATAACATTATATTTTTTATTTCTAAGAGGGAGAGAAACCAGCCAGCAGGCCTATTAGCAAGCAATTAACCAACCAATGGAATACAAAGATAAATCATTGATAGTTCCTGATCTCAGACTTATGAACTTAAAGACATAGCACAAGAGGAAAAAAGTATGGAGAAGAGGGAAATAACATACTCGCTCTTTTGTGATTAATGTAACTTTCCAAATTGGGCTTTTTAGGAAGCCCAAGGCTACTTTAATTTATAATCTTAATTTGCTCCATGTATTTTTTTTTCTAAAATCAATGTGAAATGTAGTGACTCTCTGGGGAGGTTTTGGAGGGTAGGAAGAATAGCATCTTTATCATATAACACAAGTATTGTGGTGGCTTTGGTGGCCTCCAATAAACTTATGACTACAAGGTACGATGATAACCTATAAAGCCTTTTAGGACTTGGTACTTGGGTACTGCAGGATTACTTTTCTCAGGTAGAACCAACCAATCCAGTGTTTGTCCTGAGCTGGAAGGTTAAGAATCCCACAAAAGTTAAATTAGGGAAGAGGGAACCAAACCTCAGTGTTTTTTTTTTTAGCTCATGCTCCAGCCTAATGGAGTGGCATTCCCCCAGAGATCCAGAGGCCATTCTTCTTAATGCTAATCAGGAAGTTACAACTGAACTTTCCCACAGAGCTTCTAATTTTGTGAGATATGTATGATTTTTTTTAGAATTGGGCAAGGTAGCAATTTATGGACAGGCCGAATTGTTTTGATGGTTTTGTGTCAGTTTTGTAAATCCCCGGGGTAACTTACAGAGGTGTAGCCATGTGGTAAATAATCATATTGTATCAATTAGCAAATATTTTAATAAAAAATTCTATACTTTCCTAATATTTATACTAATAAAAATTTAATGGGTTTTTTTTAATAAACTGCTATTAAGATCTAGAAGGCAGGAGACCATGAGTTCAAGTTCTGCCTTAACCATGAAAGGCAACTGGGTGATTTTGGATCAGTCACTCTCTCTCAGCCCAACCCACCTCACAGGATTGTTGTTGTGGGGAAAATAGGAGGAAACATATGTTGGATATGTTTACTGCCTTGAGTTATTTGTAAAAATAATAAAGGTGGGAAAAAAGGAAAGGAAAGGAGAAAGAGGGAGGGAGGGAGGGAGGGAGGGAGGGAGGGAGGGAAGGAAGGAAGGAAGGAAGGAAGGAAGGAAGAAAGAAAGAAAGAAAGAAAGAAAGAAAGAAAGAAAGAAAGAAAGAAAGAAAGAAAGAAAGAAAGAAAGAAAGAAAGAAAGAAAGAAAGAAAGAAAGAGTCATACTTCATGTTTCAACATTTGGCTATTCTGTGAACAAATTTCAAGGGCAAAAAAATCCCTGGAGCATCTTTAAAGGTAACTCATTAAAAGTGCATCAGAGATAAAGTTTGATTATATCTAGCTAAATTTAAGCTAATCTAAAAAAAAAAAAAACATTCCATAGGAAGTGCTTAAGAACGAAAGTTAAAAATATTGTATAAGGAGAAGCAACAAATTCTTGGAAGAAAGTGTTTATTTTTATTTTATTAGTCCTTATTTTATTAAATTTCCTACCACTAAAACCTAGTTGGAGTAGCAATTATCATCATTTGTGGGCAAAGGATTTCATGCAGCAAGTCACCATGACTTTCACCAGAGCGGTATTTTAATGGCTGTCCTAAAAATACAGATCAAACCTTTACAGCTATGAGCAGATGGTCTCATCAGATGAACACTGTTCTTCTTCCAGGAATACAGATCTATTACTAACAGTTTAGGATGTGTTCTTCTCATGTATTACGTCTGAATTACTCACATATCTGGATATGCAGAAACACAGTATATGGGTCCTCAGCATAATATGCGGAAATCTTTCTTTTCAACATTCTAGAGTTTTCATTCTATTCTTCCCCCATGTATTGGACATATTTCTACCCTCCCTTTATGGTCAGTATTTCATCACCAATGAGCATGTCTAGTCCCGAGTGGCCTATTCTTGACAACTCCAGCCAATCTTTCTTTCCCCCTAAAGAACTACCATTCTTCTTCACATAATAGCATTCTCCAGCCTGCTGATTAGTAATAATAATTATAACAATGATACCAATAAGAGAAGATAGTAGAAAGATGAGAAGGATAATACTGTCATACCACATTGGTAAATATACTTAGACATAAGACGGTACTGTGGAAGTTAGGTGTTCAGCAGAGCGATGGCAAGAGGGAAAAAACTGTCTCTGTGTCTAGTTGTTTTGGCATGCGATGCCCTGTAGCGATGTCCTGAGGGAAGGAATTGAAACAGCTTATGTCCAGGATGTGAGGGGGTCTGTAGATACTTTCTCAGCCCTCTTTCTGACCCGTGCAATATACAGGTCCTCAACAAAAGGCAGATTGGTTGCAGTTGTTTTTTCTGCAGTCCTAATTATTGTCGTGGAAAAACCAATGAAAAAGACAAGAGACAGCAGCACAAAACAATAATTCTTACTTTAAGATTCATAGGTTTATTTTGCTAATAATTTGGAGCATAGCAAGCATAATAACACAACATCACTTACACTAATAACCCATTGCAATGAGGTCCACTGGTATAGCAAATTCCAAAGGACAGCTATAGGACAATGGAAAATCAATCAGGTCCAGACCCAACTCTTTATATCCTTTCTCATTCTAAGACTGTAGTCAGATGGTCCCCTAACCTTTGCTGACTTTTGCTGACTTCTTACTGACCTCCTGCTGACCTTCTGCTGAACGTAACTTTCCACATATACCCCGTTTACATTGGATCCCACATCCAACATCTACTTTCAGTT